CCCCCGGGCAGTCTCAGGCCTGGAAAGGTCTTTGCAGAGGCGGCCGGCACGTCCCCGCGGCAGCCGCATGCAGCGATGACTCTCCCCTCGTGCCCACGGTCGCCATCTCCCTCCAAACCGCTCGGGCCCGGCTCCTCTTTCCCGCCCAAGAGGGAGCGAGGCGGCGCAGGGGGTTAAGCTGGGCTCACCCTGCTGCCCCGGGGCTCTGCCCCCCCCAGAACCGGCAGGGTCAGGCGGGACACCCGGGCTATGAGCACCCCCGGCCCCTTGGGGGCCTGGCACGGGGGGCCTGAGGTGTAGGCAAGAGGGCCCAGGAGAGACAGGTGGCAGGGTTCAGCCTGCGGATGCTTCTTAAGCGCCTATCAGGAATTTCAGAGTATAACCTTTGCTCTGGGTTTTTATTACTTGCCCCTTCTGACCGGGGGAGAGGGCGTGCTGCAGCCTGCACCCAGCTCTGGGCTGGCTCTGCTCTGGAGCTCAGCTGCTGAGGCACTTGACTGTCAGTTGCTTGGTGTTCCCATGTCCAGCTCCTCATCTTCCTCCTCCGACCAGCTCAAGCTGTCATCCGAGTCCTCCCCCTGCACTGCCCCGGACATCTCTGCATTGGCAGCCTCCTTCTCCTGCTCGCCCTGGGAGTGTGACCTGCTTTGGGGGAGCTCCAGCTTGGCCCAGGAGCCCGGGCTGGCTTTACAAAGCGTGATCTCCACCTTGGTAGGGACCATGCTCACAAAGCTCTTCTCTATTGCGATGACCTAGAGAGGGAAAGGTGTGGTGAGCTGGGCAGGGGAGGGCAGGCACCACATGCTCATCCTTCCCTTTTCTGGCAGAGCCCTAACAGAGGAGAAGAGAAGGAGAAATCTCTCCTGTGCCAGGAGACAGAGTGGGATGAAACCTCAGCTCCAGCTGAGCTTAACAATATTACATCTAAGCAGCACTGCAGTGCTGGTACAGAGCTCAGGAGAGCTCAGCTAGCCACAGCCACGTGCATGGCTGCGGTACAGCCCTCTCCCCACGGCAATGAGCTGCGCTGAGACACAGGCATACCCACAGCCGGCAGCACGCTCTGCTGTCTGCGGGCAGAGGCAGCACACGCCAGAAATAAAGGAAAAAAATGCGCATGCAAATTCCTGAGCCTCACTGCTCCTCCACAGCCAGCAAGCAGCTGAGAAATCAGAGAGCTAGTCTCACCCCTCACAGCCCTTCCTGCCCACACGCACAGCAGGACTGCAGGGGGAGACAGGGACCTACTGGGCCAAAGACCCTTTGTGGCAGTCTGGGACCAAACCCAGAACACTTACAGAGCCATCGAGATGTCCAGCTCTGCTCTTAGTCCAGGATCAATGGGTTTAGCCACCAGCAGCCTCTGAAACAGAGGCTGCCTCCTCACAAACCCTAAGGCATTTCCCTAGCAGGGATGGCTATAAACACGGGTACCTGGGCAACCTGGCCCAGGAGCAAGAGCAAGCACAGGCTGCCTCGCAGTATTGCAGCCCAGCCCCTCGCAGACTACTGGAACAGGGAAATCATAGCAAACAGGATCTTACCCCCCAGAGATCCAGTTCTGCCTGGAAAATCTTATTCCCTTCAAAGATGATGTAAACCTCAAGCTGAAAGATCAACAGAAAATTAATCTGAGTGGGTAGCACAGCACTGCCAGAGCTCTTCCCCTGGACACTGCAGTTGCCTTCCAGCACCATAACACATCC